GCTGTAACCGGCTGGGCTAGATATGCCCCCGGTGTTTGGAGTCCCTGCACGACCTGCTCAGGTGTGCGAGCGGCGGGAGTTTGAGTGCCTCCCCCGGCCTAAGAAGCAGTTGCGGCTGTAGTGACTGAAACTACCTAAGCCAGGCCAGTGCAAACCAATAGAATATGAGCCAAGGCCTTCTGAAGACCCGAAATCACAATGGGCACAGTTGGTGCCTGAGCTAGTGCTGCTGGAGCGTCCACAACTGGGACTTGATCCTGAACTAAGGCGGCTGGTGGATCTGCAGGTGCTGCCCTAGCTACTGTGCAGGCCACACCTCTGCCCCTACCGTGATCGCGACCAAGACCGCGTCCTCGACCTCTAGTAGCCACAGATGGTGGTATCGGTGGTCGTCCATCCTGGCCAGTAGCGCGTGTCCTCACCATCTGTGAGAGAATAGAATGACAGAAGTTTAGTACTCGGATCAACAAATTCGCATGACAAGAATTTCAAGAATATGAAGTTTTCTTAAAGGTTCTACAGCCTCTCGAGGATAAATACAGACGTCTCCATACCGATCCGCGAGACTCTACTAAACCTGCTCATGACTCGTGAGACCTATGTAACCTAAGCTCTGATACCAACTTGTCACGACCCCAAACCCAGACCCGGTCGTGATGGCGCCTCTCGTGAAGACAAGGTCAACCAATTCTTTCCTATTTCAGTTTTGAACAATCACAATAAGAATTAAGCCATTAAACATAATAAAACCCCAAAAATATGGTGAATAATTCAATTTGCGGAATACAAAATCAACACAACCTGATACCGAGGTGTCACTAGCCATGAGCATCTAAAAATTCGAAATAAGACAAAAAAGTCTACAGAGTTCAATACAAATCTAAAACAAAGAGAAATAAGATAAGGGAAGAAGCTCTGGGCTGTGAACGCCAGTAGATACCTAGAGAATCTCAGATCCGCCTGAGCTAGAAAGATCAACACTTGGTAGCGGGACCAGATGCGCCTAAATCTGCATACATGGTGCAGGGAGTAAAGTGAGTACTCTAACTCAGTGAGTAATAATCATAAATAAATATTGAAAGAAAGAAATCACGTAAGGCACATTATAGACTATACGACAGCAGTAAAAGCCAGTAAAAACAATGAAGTAGTGATAATGAGTAAAGTCATTTCAATTCAGTTCAAACTTCATGAAACACCTTTTTAACAATTAAGCAGATAAATGACAGACAAATAAGACAGATAAGCACATAAAGGATTGCCCCTCGGGCATAATGTCAATAATACCAGCCCCTCGGGCTATATCTCACATCACAATGGGTAACCGCGATCATTGAGGGTGTGTAGACTCCTGGAGGGGCCCCTTTCGTCCCAAGCGCAATATCAATCCATATCGTGACATCATCACTAGGCCCTTTGCCTCATATTAACAAGCCACCTCGTGGCGTACATATCTCAGGCCCTTGGCCTCATAGTCATAATCAGTGTTTCCTCATAACATAGGCCCTCGACCTTACTTAGTCAGAATCTCACAACCACTCGGGCAATAGTAAAACATAGTGCTCAGCCCAAAATATCATTTAAGTATTAAAGTAGAGTAAAGATGGTTGAGTTATGAAAATAGTAGAATATAGGATGACTGAGTTCAAGTATAAAGTCAAAAAAGTGAGGAAATATCAATAAAAATTCCCTAAGGGTTCAAATAGTTGGCACGAAGCCCAAATATGACATTCAGACCAAAACATGATGATAACAAATCGTTTTCAGTCAAATACGCGGTAAAACAGTCATTCGGGATGGAATAGTGCACGGCCCCACGCTCGTCATCTAGCGTGTGCGTCACCTCAATATAGCACTATGATGTCCGTAGTTTCATACCCTCAAGACATCATTTACAATCATTACTCACCTCAATCCGGTTCGAACTCTAGCCCGCGATGCCTTTGCCCCTCGAATCGGCCTCCACTCACGTCGAATCTATCCAAAATTAGAATTACGACGTCAAAATATGCTAAGGGAACGAAGCCCAAGCAAAAATAATCAATATACACCACAAATCCCGAAATTACCAAAACTCGACCCCTGGGCCCACATCTCAGAATTCAATAATTTTTACATCAATAGATTCCTTATCTTCCCACGAGTTCATACATATCAAAAGTTCTGAAATCCGACCTCAAATGGTCCTTCAAATCCTCAATCAAAGGTCTAAGTTTCCAAGCCCTAGTTTCCCCAAACTTTGATACTAAAATTCCATTAATTACAAGCCTAATCCATGAAATAATACCATGGAAACGAGTTTTAGGTCCAAAATCCTTACCTCAATGAAGTTCCCTTGAAATACTTCTTCAAAATCGTCCAAAAAGCTCCAAAGCTGACTTAAAAATGATGGAATAACTCAAAAATCGTGAAGGAAACAATTTATACTTTCTGGACCAGGCATTTTTGCATATGAGGCCCAATTCTCGCTTCTGCGGTACCGCATTTGCGGCCAATTAATAGCTTCTGCGGTTTTCAGTAAAGCGACCAAAATCGCATCTGCGATGCTCACTCCGCATCTGCGCCTTCGCAGGTGCGGTCCCATAACCGCATTTGTGGTTCCTGCCTTCCCAGCCATTTTCTGCTTTTGCGGCCCCCTTCACGCATCTGCAGCATTGTACCTGCGGTCCCCAATCAGCAGGTGCGGAAACACCAGAAGCAGAAAATCTGCAGCTTCTCCAAAATTCCAAACTCTTTGTCAACCATCCGAAATCACCCCGAGGCCCCCAGGACCTCAACCAAAAGCACCAACATATCCCAAAACCTTATTCAAACTTATACCAATCTTCAAAACACCTCAAACAACATCGATTAACCAAAACTCATCGAATTCAAGCCTAAGTTTTCAAAATATTCTGAATTCCGCTTTTGATAAAAAAACTCAACCAAACCACATTCGAATGACCTTCAATTTTGCACACTCATCCCAAATGACACAACGGAACTACTGAAACTCTCGGAATTCCATTCTGACCCCTATATCAAAATCTCACCTATCAACCGAAAAACGCCAAAAATCCAATTTCGCCAATTCAAGCCTAAATCTACTCTGGACCTCCAAAACACATTCTAATCATTCTCCTAAGTCTAAAATCACCTCCCAAAGCTATCCAAACCATTGGAACTCACATCCGATCCCTCTAACACATACGTCAACATCCGGTTGACTTTTCCAACTTAAGCTTCCTCAAAAGAGACTAAGTGTCTCAAACCTTACCAAATCCTTTTCGAACCCGAGCCAACCAACCCAATCACATATATAACCGATAGACAAAGAAATAAGAAGAGGAAATGAGGGAAACGGAATGGTCACTCATGAGACGACTGGCCGGGTCGTCACACATGAATTTGTCAAATGCGAACACCACTGCCAACATCTCTTTCTCGGTCACAGTGTAATTTAGCTGGGCTCCACTCACCGTTCTACTTGCATAGTATATTGGATGCATGATTTTATCTTTTCTCTGCCCAAGAACTGCTCCCACAGCATAGTCACTCGCATCACACATCAGCTCAAATGGTTTCTCCCAGTCGGGCGCAACTACGATAGGTGTTTTTACCAATCTCTTCTTTAATTCCTTAAAAGCTACCCTGGAGTCATCAAAAAACACAAAAGGGTGATATTTTCAAGCAATTTACACAAGGGGTTAGCAATTTTAGAAAAATCCTTTATAAATCTCCTATAGAACCCGGTTTGATTGCTTTGACGGAGGTGGGTAGTGGAAGCTTTTCTATCACATCAACCTTTGCACGGTCCACCTCAATACCTTTACTTGACACTAGGTTCCCCAAGACTATACCTTTATGTACCATGAAATGTCACTTTTCCTAGTTGAGTACCAGATTAGTTTCGATACACCTTTTCAAAACTCTTCTCAAGTTCACAAGACAATCATCGAATGAGTTCCCCACCACTGAGAAGTCATCCATGAAAACCTCCATCATCTCCTCTACCATATCTATAAAGATGGCCATCATGCACCTTTGGAATGTGGCAGGTGTGCTGCATAGGCCAAACGACATTCGCCGAAAATCATAGATTTCATAAGGGCAATAGAAATCTGATTATACCCCGAGTACCCATCCAGAAAGCAAAAGTAAGACCTCCCTGCCAATCTATCTAGCATCTGATCAATGAATGGCAGTGGGAAATGGTCCTTCCTGATGGCCAAGTTCAACTTCGTGTAATCCATACAGATTCACCAACCTATGACTATTCGTGTAGAGATCAACTCGTTCTTCTTATTTTTCACTACCGTCATGCCTCCCTTTTTTGGTACACATTGCACTGGGCTAACCCAATTGCTATTACAGAGAGGGAATATGATTCACGCATCTAACCATTTAATCACTTCCTTTTCACCACTTCTTTCATGTTGGGGTTCAACCTTCTTTGATGTTCTCTAGAAGGTTTGTGCCCATCTTCCAGAAGAATCTTATGCATATAGAAGGCCGGGCTGATCCTCTTAATATTTGCAATGGTCCACCCAATTGCAGTCTTGCACTCAGTCAGTACCTGCAAAATTTGTTCTGCCTGCACATCTAACAAACTAGCTGAGGTAATAACAGGTAAAGTTGAGTCAGGTCTTTAGAATGCATACTTGAGATGGGATGGAAGCGGCTTCAGTTCCAACTTCGGTGGCTCTTCTATTGACGGCTTATGTAGATGAGTTTTTCTTTCCTCTAAGTGCAAAGGCTTAAATTCAAGCTCCCTTCTCCAAAAACCTTGGCCTTCAAGGTCAAGTACCCACTCTGCCAACTCTTCTCCATTAGATTCATCTAAGTTCATGAGACAGGCTACTAAATGGTCTTTAATGTTAAGTGCCTCATCTTCCTCCTCCAAAACTACATCCACCGCATCTATTAGAGAGCAATTAGCAAATTCGCTTGGTCTCCGCATAGATTTCTGCACGTTGAACGTGATCTCTTTATCGTTTAATATCATCTTGAGCTCTCCATTTTCACAATATTAAGGCTCTCCCAGTGGCCAAAAATGGCCTTATCAAAATTATGGGAATTTCCTCGTCAACCCGACAGTCAAGGATGACAAAATCTTCTGGGAACACAAACTTCCCAACCTGTACCAATACATCATGTAGAATCCCAGAGGGCCTCTTCACTGTTCGATCAGCCAGTTGTAGTAACATAGACATGGGTATAGCTCTTCCAATGCCTAGACTTTTGTAGATAGCCAGGGGCATAAGGTTTATGCTTGCTCCCAGATCACACATTGCCTTAGCAAATGAAAGTTGCCTATTGTGTAAGGGATTGTAAAACTCCCAGGGTCAGATAACTTCTCAGCTATGGGTCTCGTTACAACAGCACTGCAGGTCTGAGTCAATGTAACCGTGGCCAAGTCTTGAAAGTTGAACTTGCGGGACATCAAGTCTTTCATCATCTTCAAATAACCAGGCATCTCTTTTAAGGCATCAATCAGTGGAATGTTTACCTGAATTTGCTTCAACATCTCCAAGAATTTCTTACACTGCTCATCTTTCTGATACTTGGCCAATCTCTGTGGGAATGGTGCTGGTGGCCGCTTCTTCCCTGTGATTTGATTTTTCTCTTGTTCAGGCTCTACTTCTATTGTCGGCTCCGGTGCTACCTCCATCTCTTTCACAACCTTTTCTTCTTTGTTGGTGTTCTTTTATGCATAATGTACCGTCACCTTAGTTAGCCCTATTGAATTGTCTAGCTCAATGGGTACTGGCACCAATGTCTCTGTCAGTCTTCTTTCATGAGCAATTTCTTACTCCAGATCTAAGTCTCTACCATTTCGGAGACTCACTGCCATCAGCTGCTTCGGGCCCTGCTCTTTTGGATTGATTTAGGTGTCTGCAGGTAACATCCCATGAGGACGATTATTTAGGGCCATGGAAATCTGTCCTAATCAAATCTCAATATTCTTTATCGCTGACTCATGTGAGTCTACTCTGTCAGCTAGTTTTCCAGTGGACCTAATCACTTGTTTCATCATTCCCTCAAGTTTAGCAAACCCATCTTCTTGTCTCACAATCTATTGTTGTGGAGGTTGTTGATAAGCCTGCTACTGATTTTGTTGGTTGTACCCTTGTTGCCTTTGGTAAGGCATCGTTTGCCCCTGTGGTCGCATAGCCCCATGGTTATTGTTGTTGTTATACTGCTAATGAGCTGGTCTATATTGTTGATTCTACTTACCCCAATTCTGACCACCTGGTCACAGTCCCCCGTAGTTGGCCACATAATTCATGTTCTCCTGATATTGTTGGTAATCACCTTCCGCACTCCACAAGCAGACATATGGCTGATTCATGCATGCATAAACCCCCATTAGTTGCATCAACTATGTGTACCTGCTTCTTCTGGCCTGATTCGTCAACCTTTTTGGTGAGGATGCTCATTTGTGTCAGTAGAGTGGGCATATTTTTAGCTATGGAGTTATTCGGGTCTAGAGCCACTAAGTGAACCACAAGAGTGATTGGAGCGTTTCTTGTTGTCCATCCTGAATTTTGTGATATCTTGTCAAGTAAGATCTTGCTCTCTCTGAATTTTTTACTCAAAAATGCTCCGCTTGTTGAAGCATCAACATTAGCTTTCAAACTATCTACTAAACCCATGTAAAATCTCTACCCCAACATTTGCTCCGAAATAACATGATGTGGACACATAACTAGCAGACCCTTGAATCTCTCCCATATTTCTTGTAGCGTCTAAGTTGGTTTCTGTCTGAAGCTCAATATCTCATCAATTTGCTGAGCAGTCTTGTTGGGTGGATGAAATTTGTTCAAATGTTGCTTGACTAATTCCTCCCAAGTAGTGATGGAGTTTATGGGGAGCAAATTAAGCCAAGTCTGAGCTGCTCCTATCACTGAGAATGGAAACAACAACAAACGTATTGCTTTCGGTGTCACATTGTGTTGCCTCTGCATGGCACAGATTGACAGGAAATTCTTTAAATGTTGTTGAGGGTCTTCAATGTATGACCCAGAGAACAGTCCTTTGTTCTACAACAAATGTAGCATGTTATTTTTGATCTAGAATGAATCTGCTTATATCTAAGGGACTACAATGGCAGTTGCTAAGTTATCAGTGGTGGGTCGTGCCCAATCATATAGTGTTGTTTCTAGCACAAGAGGTTCCACACCCTGATCGTCTGGGTCATTCACGTTGTCTATGTTGTTTGGATAATCGTCTTCCATGTCTGGTTCAATTTGTTTGGTTGAGCTCTATTGTCGTTTACCTTTCTTGTTTGCACGATTCAATGCCTTGAACAATTTCTCAGGATATGATAATGCTTCGAGCAATTCACTAGTTCTTGAGGAGTTTCTAGGCATGCACCTATAAGAACCACGTCTACAAACGTTAGAATTTCAACGGTCAGTTTAAATTGAAGAAAATTGACTACACTAAGGATTTTTGCGCTTCTTTTTAACTATAGTCAATAACACTATTAACTCCCCGGCAATGACGCTAAAATTTAATCGCGCGTAACTATGCCTTATACAAAGGGCAAAGCGGTCGCTGCAAATATATTCTAGTTAACAAGTCCGGAGTCGAATCCCACATGGAATTAACCTATCAATCACAACTATTGGACTCACAGAAATTCACGTATTCAATATTCAGAGATATTTGAGTAACAAAATTGGTGTTTATTAACTAAATATTATGTAATAAAAATGCAGTAATTAAGAACTAGCTATAAACTATTTGTAAGCAAGAATGATAATGGTATAAGGTTCTGATTTGCCCTCTTGTCGGAATCCTTTTCGCTATGTTTGCTATAAATTTGCCTAAGTTTTCTCTATCGATCATGAGCACTCTGACTGTCGTAACTCTCTCCCAAGTAATTACAACAATATACTAGATATATTCTCCCAAATTACACTAGATGGCCTTAGTTACAGCTCACATAGATCGCACCTAAGGTTTCGTTATCCCTAATCCCACCTTTCAACCCTTCGTATTAATCCCTAATATATGTTAGGAGTGGTGTTGTTCATCAACTACCTAAATATGCACTCTCTCCCAAGTAATTCATACTAAATAGGCACAGCCAATTGAGGGCCTTCCATCAAAAGCAATCACAATATAGTTGAACAAACAGAGAAAATATTATTGCAAATCTATATTAACATAACGGGAAATTTATCCTCCAAGAGGTTCCATCAAAATCCTAGATTAGGAGTTTAGCTGCGCATAATCGTTTTCACAATCATATCGATAGTATTCATCATCAATGATAAAAACAAGAAGAAGAAAGGTGAAAACTCTATGCCGACTCTTCCACCTTGCTTCTTTCCTGTTCATGCCTTCAAAAACCTCGATATCCTCTTTTTGGGTAAGCTGGGCTTCTTATAGGTCAAGGAGAGTGCTCCTAGAAATTACACAATTGGCCCTAACTTTTTGGCTCCAAATAACCCGTCTGCAATCGCGGATAGACCGCGGATTTGACATAACTTCTGACCGTGATCGCGGACCTGACCGCAAATTTGGTCCTTGCTCTTTCTTCTCCTTTTCGATCATGTTATCCTCTAATTGTCCTTCAATGCTCCATATTGACTCCAAAACACTCTTTTAGCTTCCTCCAAGCTCGGAATGGCTCCTGCAAAGCATAAAACTCTTAATTAGAGTATTTCGTTATCTTTTACATTCAATCATTGATAAAGTGTGGCCAAATTGGAGTGTAAATATTATCTACATTGCATGATTATCGTCTACTATCAGTTTAAACAAAATATAGAGCTTATTCATGTGAAACAAGGTTACACATCCATTGTAACCTCTCATTCTAGATGCTTTTCCTTTTTTCTAGCTACCGTATGGGAAAGACATATGGATAGTGTGAATTTATATAGTTGACCAGGATCTACAGCAGACCTACATTGTGTACCTATTAGGTGCTCAAGCACCCATTATTGTTGACCAGACATATGTATTTATGTCACAAACGTAGTAAAATTAAAGAAATAGAGAGATAGAGCACCTATTTCGGGATATGATAATGGGTGTGCTGGTTAAAAATTGGATCATAGGCCGTTGAGCACCTTTAGTTTAAAATTCTTGAGTCTTCCACTACCGAGATAACTTGGGCCTAAACATAATTATTGTTGTTTCCTTCCTTTCTGATCATTGAAATAGTTCATGTGTTGGTAAACCTTCAGCATCATCTTGTGCTTTGATAGAGCAGAGTTAAAATAGCATTTTTAGTAATTAATTTGATAAAGGATAGAAGGTTTTATATTAACAGAGACAACTCCTGCGAAGTTTGTACCAAGATGAAAGATCATTAGGTTAGAAAGAAGTCGGAAATATGACAAAAGTTCACTTAGTCTAATTGGTCCCTACTATAGCTCTGAGAAATTATATTACTTGCTTTCTGCTAATTAATGAGAAGAGAATTGCTTTCTGCTAATTAAAATGGCTAAAACTAGGCTTTTCGAAGTCTCTGGAAAACAGCTACAAATCAATTACTAACGTCCAGCATGGGCAGGCATACCTAGATATGCACAAAAAGATGAGCAGAAATATAGTATAAGTACACCATAATGGTACCCAGTAAGTATCAAGCCTAACCTCGATAGAGTAGTGATGAGACCCGGTCAAGACACCTACTAGGACAAGATAAACAAAAAAGAAATATAATAACTAAATGTAATGGGAAACGGAGAGATGAATAACAGTAAAGCAATTTAATAATGTAAACTAATGACAAAATTGTAAGCATAAAAATCCATGTCTTCCGTTCCCCTCGGCAGTATGATATCACCACTCCTACGGGATCGGGTCGTTAGCTTCGACAGTATGATGGAAACAATATTCTTATAGGATCGGGCCGTTCGCCTCAACAGAACTGATTACCACTATTATTATGGGATCGGGCAGTTCTCCTCGGCAACTTCGTGGTTAATAATCGAAACTGGCTCTGATTTGGGTTTAATTGAGGTAGCGCCTTCACGGACAGTCATGATATGTTGGGAATGTGATACAGACTCTTGATTTTATTTATTATGGTTGCTCTTATTTGTTTTGTAAGGCCCCGAAAAATTTCGCTAAGTAAATTAGGATTTCGTGGTGCCATGTAGGCTTATTATAATGTTTTATGTGCTATTAACATGATGGGCATCAATTGGATTTGGTAAATAAGTGTATAAGTCATATAATAAGTAATGTGGGGTCTAATGGGAGGCCTAAGTCTAAGTCAAGTTAGAAAATATCATAATGGGCTAAAATTCCAAATTAGTTTGCACAAGTCCACAATTTGAACGAGCATATCTAAATATATATATATATATATATATATATAAGGTTTTATGTGATGAACAACCTATCATATGAAAGGTTTTCGAGTCTAGTTTCAAACACTTCAAACCGTTAGTCATTTGGACATTCCTACACAAAGTTATGATCAAATTACCAAAGGCTGAAAAAATGTGATCCTGTGTCAATTCTGCGATCGCAAAACCATTATGTGGTCCGCATAATTGATCTGCGATAACAAATCTGGTCGCAAGCTGGGCCAGTATAGCACAGTTTTGGGCACCAATTCCGCGATGCATTTTGCGACCCACATTCTTGTTTTGCAGTTCATTATGCGACTGCAGACCCGATTTCGGAGGCTTATTTTTCCTA